TTTTAATTAGACGTAAAAGGAAATAGTATGGGCATATAGCAGATAAAAGTCAATATATAGTATAACGTTAAGAAATCATAATAGCCAAGGTCAAAGTTATAGGAAAAGTTTTTTATAAGTTTAATTTAATGATAACATGGGTATATATATAATATAAAAAATTATCATGTGTAAATAGAACACATTTTACAAATATAAATGTAGATAATACTTTACATCATCATCTCCTTTAACTGGCCTAGATGCATCTTCAATAAGTAAAGGAAGTTGATTAGCAGATTGACTAACAACCCATAATTCTTCAATATGTATTTCAACATCTTGTTGTGTACATGATCCAATTTTAGAAGGTGTTCTTGTAACTTTACCTTTAATGTCTACTATAGACTCCTTATTAATACTACAAATTAAAATAAATAAATAATAAATTAGTGTTTGTATTAAGCTATTAATTTTTTATCTTCCTTACTTAGAACAAAACTTAACAAATTGTTTACTAATAGTATTAGATACTACAGCTAACACTTGAATAGACCATTGCTGCTGTCTGATAACCATAAAACACTGTTTGCCTAAAATTAAAATATGTTAAAATGCATAAAATATTATATTTTATTTGTTTAATTACCTTTGGCACGACTAGTATGAAGTCTTCCACGTATCCAAACACTATTTTCAGCTAAAACAGTCATAATGTTTTTTACATCCACAAATACTCGATCGGATACATTTTTAGAACTTTGAATCATTTTTAAAACTCCATACTTTCCAACAGAGATGTCTTCGCCAGATTCTTGATCATTAGTATTTGCTTTCTATTTAAATTAAATATTATAATATAAGATTTAAATTCATTTTTAGAACTAGTAATATATAAAAATTGACTTAATGTATTTTATCAGAGCAGACACAAAAAAATTAATTATTATTCAATCATAAATCAATTATTAATTTGAAATTTGTTTTAAGTATTATTAAAAACGTAAAAATTTTATAAATTTACATTAGTTGCTTTGAATTGTTCCTTCTTCATTGCTTTGGCTGCAAGTTTCTCTTCTTTCTTTAATTGACTTTTAGATTTAACTTGCTCACTAAAATAACATTTTAAAATTAATATTAAAAATAAAAACAAAAACAATAAAAATGTAAAAGTTATTATTTATGAAAAATAAAAATACTAAAATATTACACATACATAATACTACTATAAAATTAATCTATATAAAAATAAACCTATAATAACAAAATTAAAAGGTATAGTTCTTGACTCAATAATATAAATAAATTATTGTATAAAATAACATAACTAATTAGTTATTTACATCCATAAGAACTGGTGCTAAGCAAAAAAAAAAAGATGACTAACTATTGAACCTTAGTGACAGAAAAAGACTAAAAACCATTCTCAGTGAAATGTTTTTGTTTAAAATATGATTTTAAAACAAAAAAATTTCAAATTTTAAAGTTAAATGGGTTGTAGAATATTTTAAATTAAAAAACATAAAATAAATAAATGCAAGTTATAAATAAAATAATTTACCCTTCTGGCGTTTCAACAGCACCATTTTTTGACGCCATTTTTCAGTTTGATATCTAAAAGAAAAATTAAATTTATGATATTATCAATAGTTTTATAATAAATAGAACAAACTACATAGGAAGTTTGAGATAAACATTATTTGAGATTATAAATGAATAAATATCTTATGATCAATCAATAAAAAATGTGTTTTATAATGAATATTACAATTAATGAATCAACAAAATACTCACAAGTCTAAACGTGTACTATAATCGGATGCCAAAATATGCCAATACCACCCTCACAATATCAAATTACTAAACTTCTAAGGTTTACTTGAAGTTTGAAGTGTACAAACTTAAAGCTCTAAGGACTCTGGATAGTGAATACCGATAACGGCGATAACCGAGTATAATCATCACGTATATAACACGGCTTTGGATAGAATTATTATCTACAGTTTTACTTAAATGATAGTGGATATCATTTTTATCAATTTTGTCTTTATCAACCGTAGATAAAAATTCCACAAATCATGAAAATATCATAGACAATGTAAAGTCTATGGAAAATGTACTAAAATATATATATATGTATTTTTTATTTTTATAAAGCCTGTGAATTTTTTTTTTAGTATTACATTAGTATCATGGAAGAAAAATATCATATTAACTAACTTAGAATCAATGAATCATAGAGCATAATAATATTATATTACTCAATAATGCTTAAAATAAACAAATTATCACATTATCACTAGTCAACAAATTGAACAAATTTATATGTTAACATGTTATTTAAATATTTAAAATCTTATTATTTGTTTAATATTATAATTACCTATAATAAAAATAATTTTGTTATTTATTTGTTTATTATTGCAATACGAACTGAAACCTAATTTAGATATTTAATTAACAAAGACAGATAGTATTTAACACATATTAAATTAATTAAAATGAGTGACGATTAGCTGAAATTGAAAGATGGATCATCGTTCTCATAAATTTAAGCACACGAATAGAATATAAACTATAAAGATCGTGACTAGAAAGAAGGAACCTTTAAATATATCTTGAATTGAAGTTCAGATGTTTTTGAAAATATTTTTTTTTTTACATAATTTCCAGTTGAAAAAAACCCAAATTTTTATAAAAAATATTTATTTAATATATTTTTAATTATATATTATACGTTAGAATTTTTAATTATTTTGATGAAGAATCATTCTTAAAATTATATTTAACTTATTTAATAGTTTAAAATGATTTTTTATGATCTCTCTATCTTAATAAATAGATACATTAAGTTATTAAACTAATCTAAACTAGGTAGATACATATTACAATGTTATAAATTTAATACTGCAGCTGTGCATGTTTTAATATGTTATAAATAGAACTCTTTACTTTAAACAAGAATTATATTAAACACAATTACAATTAAAAACTACAAAAAATATTTTTATTAGTGAATTTCAAAATGATGTAGAGCAATTATAAATAGTCGAAGATGATAATATTAAATTGAAATCAGAAATTTTAACAAAAGAATCAGATTTAAGGTTATGGACTGTTAAAATAATTAATCAATTACATAGTGAATGTTAGTTATTTATCTTTTTTGAAAAAAATGTACAAATTAAGCCACAAAACATTAATAATTAAATATTATTTTCTAATTGATTTTATTATTTCAGTATTTTAATTTAGAGATCAAATTTTTATACTATTTTACAGACTGTTTATTACAAATAAATTTGTTGAACAAGCAACTTTAAATTTTAAAATATTTGAAAGATTAACCAAAAGAAGACTTATAGAATTATGATTATATTTTGTTTCAGAAAAGAGAAAAAAGCCCTAGAAGAAGAAATTATTAAAAGGTCTATAAGAGATATGGATGCTCAACAATGTTTTAAAGAAGAATATGAAATTTGACATTTAAGAAAGAAATGAAAAGAGATTAATAGTAATTAAAAAAATTAGAACAGCAAATTTCTGTATTAAAATTTAAATGTAAAGTTTTTAGCATACAATCTTTGCATGATTTATATATTTGTTACAGTGTCTTCGTCTAAAGAAAATATTGGAGAAGATAAACTGATAACATATAAAAAAGAATATTTTCAAAATAACTATAAGATAAAAGATAGAAGCTCATCAGAACTTGCAAAAAAAAAAAAAAAATACTATAGCAAGTTGTTCTGAACACAATATTGTTTGTCCAAATTAGAAGGATTATAAACTTCAATTAATACTGTTTTGTTATTTAATTGGTTTATAGCTCATGTATATGTTATAAAACTATTCAATTTGAATTTTAAAATTAAATTATGAGCTTCTAATTTTTAAATATTAATAACAATGATTGTATTTTAATTTATATATACATACACATTAATGTTTTGTAACATAATAAAATTTGCTAATAGATTAAAAATAAACAATACATCGTATGTAAATACTTAACTGCTTATATATATAAACACATGTAAGATGCTTGTATATTGTTTTATTAAATAAGTCAGTGGCAAAAAAAACCATTTTGGTTAATCTATATTTTAATATTCTACTGTATAACCAATACAAGACAATTATAGTAGTGTACTAAATTATTTTAAATGGAAATATTGAATACTTTTATAAATTGTTTTTAACATAAAGGGGTTAAAAGGAAAAATGTGTAAAATATTAATTATTAAAACATTAAAAAATTATATCATAATAATAATCTGAGGGGTAATTTTTAACAATTATTTTATATTGTTACTAAGTAATAACTACACTTGATTTATTGACACTACAATTTAAATGGCAGAATGAGCGGAATGGGTGACAATATTTTCAGAAGAAATTTATCGAGTTTTTAACATAATATATATAAATATATATTGTTAAATCAATATGTAATTTAAAGTTTTATAGATAATAAACTAGTAATTACTGTGAGCATTATGTTACTATAATACATTATATCCTACGAGAAAAACAAACTGGAAAACATTAATAGGCAATTTTTTTTTTTTTTGTTAACAATTATATTTCTTATAAATTCAACAATAATCATGAATTAGAAAACTATTTGACTGTATAATGTATTGTTTCATACTAATATAGTAATATTACTAAATATTTTTTAATATTTTAAAGTAATTAATACATATTAGTGGTATGTAAAAGTAAAATTCTTTTAGACAGTCGCCTTAAGACCAAAATGGTTGGGTAGGTATTTAGTATGATATAAAGTTTTTAGCAATTATATTAATTTTACTGTTAAGTGAAAAAAAATTGTAAATTAAAAGCTGGATGCATGGGTCATCAAATAGTAATTTGCTTCAAGTTTGAAAATTGTTTAGCAAATTACTGGTACACATTGTTATTCTGTGCTCATAATAACAAATTTATAGCAGCCAGAAGATGATATTCAAAATCAATAACATATTAACAAAAAAATAAACTTAGATGCTGAATAAATTTATTAGGTTATAACAAACAAAACTAATATTATATTACATTAAGTAAATGGGAAATGACTATCTATAATTATACAACATCTCCATACTGATTACGTGATTCCCTATGTTGAGGAGTCCTTGTTTGGTCAGATGATGGATAAGCTTGATTATTCCATGTTGGTTGAGTATTTGATGGCGGATAAGCTTGATTATCCCATATTGGTTGAGAATTTGATAGAGGTGGTTGCCTAAATCAAAATATTTAAAATGCTTATAGTTATAGTTATAATTATAATTTTTTCAAGTTCGAAAATAATTTTCAATATAATGCAATATTAAAATAATAAGCAAATTAAAACAATTTAATACTTATTATCAATATTTAAATTAAAAAAACCATTAATGCTTTTATAATATGTCTTAAAATATCTAACTTATTAACTAAACTTTGGTGTTAATATTGATAATATAAATTAATCAATGCTTTTGTATAACTAGAAAATTAAATGAACTTTTTTAACGGTATAATAAATTTTATATATTAATACCATAAATTAAAATTGTATTAATATTATTTAATTATCCATAGGAACTTCGTATATCAAATATGAACTTAGCTCAGTTGATATACGTATCAGCTTTTAATATTATTATTGTTATTATTGTAACAATGGCAAAAAAAAAAAAAAATAAATTACAAATTATAAAATCATTAATTCTATTCACATAACAAGAAACCCAGCACCAGTTTTGGTCAGGCAACATTTATATGTCACCTATATGGTCAACAACCTGAACATCTGCTGTGAATATAATGCCGTTAACATGTGCACAAAATCAATCACTTAGGTTCTTTCTTAATAGGGTATAATTATTTAAATGATTTACCTATAAGTCACTTTATTTGGTTGTGTTCTATCATATTCTTGTCTATTAAGTTTCCTAAGGTCTTCGTAAGAAGTAGGTGTAACATTTGACAGTGAAATTTCATTTTCCTTCCTAAGTGGTAAACCTAAATGACAAATGAATGTGAAATATGTAAATAATAGTATTAAGGATATAACCTACCATCATAATTGGGTCTATAATCTGTATCTAAAGAGTATGTAGGTTTATGCATATCAATATCTACATTAGATTTGTAATCAGTCAAAAGTGTTGGCATATCATTTCCAGGTGTAATATTAGTTGGATTTGTAACATTTCTGAAAAAAAAATGAAGATAATTGGATATTATTCTTTGTTACTGTATATTGTATTCTGTTTTCTTTACTCTTGGAAAAATTCTCCACTTGTTTTTCCTCTACGTTCCCTGAGCACTCGTCCAAGTTCACTATTAGGTAACTGCATTAATTTTTCAGCACATTTTGCTTGATAAGAATATTTACCAATTAGATAACCAAACAGACCACCAAATATTACTTTAGGCCATGGACCCCATTTTAAACTCCGCTTTAAATAACCTTAAACAATAAACAAATGATACATAACAAATTAATATACAACAGTATAATGCTTTCCAGGCAACTTAACCAGTTTTTTATTTTATATTTTTGAAAATATTTATAATGAATATTTACAATATTTACTGCAGTCTGTACAGAAGTTTAGAAAAAGAAAAAAGAAAAACAGTTATAGAGTAGTATTAAGAAGATCTCTTGACCAGTTTCAGTTGAGGCGCCTGTTAACCAGTTTAAAAACGTTTCTTTAAACAGTAGTGTACAAAATTATCACATATCTGAAGTTGCTAAGATTTTTATTCGAAATGATAGTTTTTAAATTAATATTTAACAGTTATATATAAACAAAGCAAAACAACAATAATGGAATTGCTTACCGGCATTAACTGCAGCATAGGAAACAGCACCTGTAATCAGTGATAGTGGTAGGCTTCTTTGAAAAAAACTTTCAGTGTTGCATTCATTCATGACTCTGGTTTCTTCTGGTGAGAACTGGTAGAACTATATAAAAGAAAAAAAATCAAAATTATGTCCATACTATAATACATTTTACGAATGCTGGAACGTAAACACAATAAATAAAAAAAATAGGTACAACAGTACAAAACATCAAAATATGACTTACAAGTGAATCTGGAGACGGTTTCTTTTGCTGTGGCGGTGTGCCGGGATTTAGATTTGCCATTGCCACTCGAATATTATGGATCGGACTGATGGCTTACGATATTTTTATATTATAATGCTTTGGTGTCGTTAAGAACGCTATACTTTGACAAAAAATAAACGTAATTCAGACATTGGTCGGGTGCGAACTACAGATGTGCAGTACTTGATAATTGATTATTTATTTGTTGAGCGGTAAGTTCACAAGCCGCAAATCGCTATTATCAAAAATCAGAAAGCCTTATTCCGTGAACTCAAACCAAAATCCTTGGATAATGAATATTGGATGGTAGAATACTAGGATGAATGATGAATTTAACTATATTTGATTTTCAAGCGTTATCGTTATCGTTTCAAACACTTCAAACATGGAGGAAAAACGCGTCCAATGCATGTGATAACGGCAGTCTGTCCACTGAGCGCAGCCACGATCACAGTCTTCCAAACGCGTCCTAATAAATAATCTGATCACCACTCCATCATTATTCATTTCATTATTATACTATAGTTATACTATACAGGTACTTAATATAATATTGTTTTTCATATACGGTTTTTTTTTTTTTTATCCTTCTCCCAAATCACACAAGTCGTTCCCCCAATAATGTCAATTAACCAATGTTGTTATTCTGATTAATATTTTTTTACTATTAATTTATAAATTGTAATTTCATTCGTTGTGAACATCGTAGTCTATGATAGTTTCGGTGGATGATTTCTCAATAGCTGCTGTCTAGTGTCGTCGTCGTCTTTGTCGTTGTGATCTTTAAAGTACTAAGAACATTGTTTATAAGGAGTCAAAATGTTCCATTAGTGTTTTTGTTTCGAATTACTTCATCGTACTATTCGTACTGCCGGAAATGGATAGTATTAATAAAAACGTAAGGGTTTCAATTATTTTTGTTCGGCTGATATTAACTTTTATCGTATAGAACAATGTATAAAATATAATATTAAAACTGTTAGTGAAATAAAATAGTAAAATTGTTTCGTATTTTAGTACTGACTCGGAATATTGACAAAAGAAATAAATCTATTAATTTAGGTATTTTCATTTTTTGTTTCAATGTTCTAGTATTAGGTTTAAGTTAACATTTTCCTCATCTATAGTAATACATTTATTAATTAGCAACATTTAAATGTTTTAATGTTATACTTAAGATGAGATAGTTACCTAAATAGATTATTAAATTATTTAAAAACCTTGAATATTCTACTTTTTATAAGTTTTGTTAATTTATATTTTGTGGACTACCTGTATTAATATTAAACAATTTAATTGATTACATAAAATAAATAAATGTCTGCTTAATTTTAATACTTATTTTATAAACATTAGTTTTGATTGATAGTTAAGTACTAAATATTAGCTAGCATCTATAAGAATTAAATTATTTAAAATTTGCTTTTAGCAGTTTACATTAAATTTTTATACTTTTTGTAATTATCTAATTAAACTATTGAATATTGACTCATATTGTATTTACAATTTATTATTTTAATTAAAGTTATTAAATAGAATAAATAGATAATATTCTGAGTCTAATTTTTGATATTAGCACTTTAAACATTTTTAAATAAGACATGTTAATAAACATTTTTCATTATGAATATGTTCTTATACTGTTGAGCACAATTTATTTTATAATAAAAATTATATTTATCTAATACTATTAATACTATTCTATAAAAACTATCAGATTTAATTTCTATTTTGGTCGTTTTTAAAACTTTTTAACGAAGTTTTACTTAATTTTCTTATAAATCTGATTGATTCATTGAACTTGTTCATTGTTTTGAATTAGATATGTACTGTATTTTCCTTTCAATTACTGAATAAACTTGTTTAATGAATCATTTTAGGTTTTAATTATCAAAATATCTAGATAGTTAAATAAATGTATTTGCATATATATTTAGGTATATCATAGCTGATTAAAATGGCATCCAGAGATAAACAATCACAATATGTCGATGGTCGACGTACCTGTCCTCGGTACAGTGGACCCGCTTCCAGCAATGGTGACTATGCTTATGCATATTATGAGCATGGTCCTCATGGGTCTAAACCGCATTCATGTTCAAAACACAGTTATATCAACCGATATGGACGTGAAGAGAACATATATGAAGAGATTGGAACATCTAAACTTGATGAAGAAGTTAGATATGTCCACTCGAAACATTTACAGGCAAGTATTCTTTTAACAACATGATATGTATAATGTATCTTTTATATAATTATATGCTTTTTTTTTTAAGGTTTTGGATGAATTAAATTTATCAATGGAAGCAATGATAATGCCTGACAATGGTGCATGTTTAAACAATAATGGTTCATCTGGCCTTAATTTAGGAACTTCTAGAGATGGTTCACCTGTGAATTTAAGTGTAGATAGTGGGGTTGCATGTGATGCTAGCAGTTGTGGTACAAATAGTTTAAGCCGACCTCGTAAATCTCATTTTAGCACAAAACGATTTTGGAATAAAATGCCTACATTAATTTCACCCAGTCCGAGTAAAACATCACTTCCAGGTTAGTTAATTAATTTTTACTAGATTCTGAGTTGAGCTATGAATTTATATATTTATTAAGCATACACAATTTTATTTTTAGATGTATTCCAAAAATATAATTATGTTATTATTAAGAATGTAGACAAAAAATTCATCTTACTGTTAGAATCTAATAGCTAATGCTAAATTTAATATTTATAAAATACAAGCAAAGAATTGATATATCATGTTGTAAACTAATGTTTTTTTTTTTACAAATATTAGTTCAGAGAATATAAATAAATATTTATCTTACAATGAGTAATTAAAAAATATTTTGTCTATTTATCATTGTATTAAGATAGTTGTTTTATAATTTTTCTCGTTGATAAAGAAAAAAAAAATTGCCTATACTAGTATTAACGATAATGAGATAACAGTATAATTTATTGTGATTATTTCACATATTAGTAAGAAAAACTCTTTGTTATTACAGTTTTTACATTCAACTAAATAGTAATTTTAAAGTTTATTTAGATAAATAAAAAAATGCAAAAAAAAATATGACATTTTCCAAATTGTTATGTAAAATGTGACTAATTGTTTGTTTTTGGTTAGTGAATATTGTACATTATGATTTATACAAGATAATTTTTCTTATCATAAATCACTTATAATTACCAAATTATTAACATTTTTGAAAATATTTTCTTTGTATAATATACATTCAAAATAAAACAATGTTTAAAAAAAAAATGATAGTTTTTATATTTTTTGGTTTTTTAACGATAATGTACAATTTTTAATTTTATTTTTATATTCTGAAGTAGAATATTTTTTGTAATATTTAGTTGATTAAAAATAAAATTTGGAATAGTAGTTTTTAAATTATAAATATTTTAATTTGAGGTGAATTGTGTAGTAGACCAACATTTTGCAGAGTATCTTTGTACCATTCCATTTCGTTCACCAAAACTTTAAATACTAATAACTAATAAGTAATAACTTAAAAAATACTCGTTTGTATTTTCATTTTTAATTATCGAAATTTGATACTTAAAAATATTTTGCTTTAGAATATAAAATTTAAAATGTATATTGTTATTCAAAAAAGTATAAAACTCAAAAAAATTTTGTTTTTTTTTGACTATGAATCATATAAAAAAAAGATTTTCAAAAATATTAATATTTTTTGATTCTTTGAGTGGTTTACGATTAAACAATTACTTTATAAAAATAAAATTATTCATCATTAACATCCTACCTTTAATTATATTTTTATAAATTGGGTTAAAAAGCAATAGTACAATTTAATATATTATATCTATAATAATTTGTCATTTAATTTGGTTAATAATAGTTTTAAAAATATAAAAGGATAAATAAGAAAAATGCACCTACCTAAATATTTATTTTTATAATCAGATGAGTCTGTGCGATGGCGACAAAATTCATGGGACGAAGTAACACAATCAACCACTATTAATGAGCGCCATACTCCTTCACAAAAAAGTTCAAGTTCTGATAGAGATCCAGAACTTTCATCAGAAGAAGAAAGTAACAAGTATGTATTTAATTTTCTCTGTTATTTTCTTAGTTGTTTTATTTTTATGTTTCTTTTATGTTTAGAAGTTATGATACAAGAAACAATGTTTCTAAAACATTAAGATGGACAAAGAACCCTCCATCTCCAGATCCACCTTCTAGTCCAGGTTTATTATCGAGATGGTTTTCATTAAGACGATGCTCTCAATACGATCTAGATGTTCGGCCAAATAGTAAAATGCCTTTATTACCAGAGGTATACTAATTAATAATTTTAACTTTATTTATAAAAATTGTATAAATATATCCAATAGAAAAATTAAAAAAATACATATTCTATCTAGTTGGTATTTAGATATTATAGAAATATTTAATATTAAATAAATTGTTATTTTTAGGTTGAAGAAGACTGTTTTTCTAGACGACTTATTCCACCAAGTCTTCCACCAGCACCTCCTGATATTTCTGAACAAGAACTAAGACGTAGATATATTGTTGACGATATAGTGAGAAGTGAAAATTCATATTTAGCTACTCTTCATAGACTTGTGAATGTGAGTTAATAAAAAAAATATATTGCATTTGTATAAGTATATTAAATTTAAAAACTGCATATTTTATAATATCAGGATTACAAAAAGCCTCTTGAACAAAGTATGCCATCAATTTTAAGTCAGTCAAAAATTTCAATACTATTTCATCGAGTTCCGGAGATACTTCAATGCCATACACTATTTAGAATAGCATTAGCTGAAGCTGTTGCAAATTGGGATCGTGATCATAGAATTGGTGATGTTTTTGTAGGATCTTTTAGTAAAGCAATTGTGTTGGATATTTATAGTGGGTTTATCAATAATTTTTTGAATGCTATGGAATTGGCAAAAACTGAAACCAAAAGAAAAGCATCTCTCGCAGAATTTTTTAAAGTTAGTATTTATATTTTATTTTTGTATTTAGCATAGTTTATTTTTTTATTATTTTTTTTTTTTAGAATCGACAAGAAGCATCCCATGACCGTCTTTCATTTTATAGTTTAATGGTTAAACCTGTACAACGATTTCCACAATTCATTCTTTTCCTCCAGGTTTGTATTCAGTATTATCTTAATTTAAAATTATGATTTAAACATTGTTTATAACGTGTATATATTTTTTTAGGATTTATTACATAATACAGGTTATGGTCATCCCGATAGAATGTCTTTACAATTAGCATTAACTCAATTGGAATCATTAGCAGAAATGCTCAATGAGAGAAAACGTGAGAGTGAGCAGGCTCAAGCATTTA